CATCCCACATCGCCCAGGGGTGTGATCCTTAAATGTATATTCCCATCTTACCTAGCACGAGGCCTTTTGGGAGCTCACTAGCTTTGGGTTCCGTAGGAACTCCAAAGTTAAGCGAGTAGCGCGCGAGAGCACTCCCAGGATGGGTGACCCATCGGGAAGTTCTCGTGTGAGTTCCCAGAAACAAAACCGTGAGGGAATGGTAAGCCCAAAGCGGACAATATCGTGCTACTGTAGTGGAGCGGGCCCGGGAAGTGATCCGCCCCGGGCCGGGATATGACATTGGTATCAGAGCCTATCCCTGGCCGGAAATGTGCCGACGAGGATGTCGGGCCCCTAAGGGGGGTGGATTGTAACATCTCACATCGTCCAGGGGTGTGATCCTTAAATGTATATTCCCATCCTACCTAGCACGAGGCCTTTTGGGAGCTCACTGGCTTTGGGTTCAGTAGGAACTCCAAAGTTAAGCGAGTAGCGCGCGAGAGCACTCCCAGGATGGGTGACCCATCGGGAAGTTCTCGTGTGAGTTCCCAGAAACAAAACCGTAAGGGAATGGTAAGCCCAAAGCGGACAATATCGTGCTACAGTAGTGGAGTGGGCCCGGGAAGTGATCCGTCCCGGGCCGGGATGTGACAGAGGAGTTCATTTGAATCATCCATGCAAGAACGGAGATTTGTGACTGTGTGAGGGAGGTTTCGAACAATCGAAAAGTTGGGTCGGGTCGGGGCTTGTGCGGGTTGTTTGTGGTTGCGGCTGTGGAGGGGAAGAATGGGTATTGGGTCAAAATTGAGCATGGGCTTTCGGGATGGAGGTTTGAGGATAGGGGTTGTCGATGAAGGTGGGATTGGGTTGTAGCCGTGTGGGGGAGTGAGGTTGCTGGATGCTGGTTTATTTTTAATTTTCTTTGAAGTTTTTCTTTTATTTTCATAAAAAATTATACGTTTATATTTGTTTTTTCATTTTACAAGTTTATTTAATTTTATTACCACATGTCGTGATTTTATTGGTGCATTTTATTGACATGCTGACATGTTAATGACAAATTGGACGAAATCTAACGGGGGTTTGATGACTAATTTTTTTTTTTTTTTAAAAAAAAGGGGTTCAATTTACCAAAAAAATAGTTAAGGGGGTCAATTTCAACTAGGATGGTAGTTCAAGGGGTCCAATGACAATTTACCCTAAATTCTTATTGTTACAACCACAACAAGTGGCCCAGTGATAAGAACTCAGATTCCAACTCTCAAAATACAAAAAACAGGGACGTTCCGGAGGTGGTGAGTCTACTTGACTGTGGTCGGGAAGAGGCTAAAAATGCCTCTGTGAGTCTTCATGGCCTCTGAAAATGGTAGATAACCGTGACTTACCACCAGTTGTCCCAAAAAAAAAAAAAAAAAAATCTTATTGTTAGAACCAAATAACGACCTATTCAAGACTAAAGATGCTTTTCATATGCTTGAACTTGAACGATAATATTGTTTTGACAATAGGGAAATTTTATTTGAACACATTTAACATCTTTCTACATCCAACTTACTTTCTTCACCCATATTGTTTTTTATTAAAGAATTAATATCTCTTTAAACCCAAATTTATTACCTAAACTACCCTCTCAAACCCAATTCAAAATGTAAAATTATCTTTACACCCATTCCCTTTATAAAATAACATCTCTAATTCAATGTTTATTTTTTTCTTTTCAAAATGGCATCCTTTGCCCCTCTATAATTGCATATGCCGTATAGGACTAGCATTTCCATGATTGCTTTTTTTCTTTCTGCTACCACAACCCATCCATGGACTTGGGATCCAAGAGATCATTCCATAGACTTTCATTTGCCAAGAGAATGTTATGCAAGCCAGTTCAGTCCTTTTTAAATCGAGCGTTTTCGTATACTTTTTAGGAAACTTTGAAGTGATATAGGGTTAGGTGTTTTGCTGCTATTTAATAAACAAATAAACAAAGGGTGATGCTAGGGTTTAATTATACTATGTGGGTCTATTGATAAATTTGATTTTTATTATAAAAGGGGTGTGATATCCACACATCTCTTTTTACTTCTCACACACCCATTGTTAATTTATATCATTTGACCTTGTTCAATTCATCTGATTCGACAGCCAAAAATTCAAAAGGTGCGTGAGAAGTAAAAAGAGTTGTGTGGATATCATACCCCTTTAAAAATACTTCGAGGTATTTAACCGTTACCTCTTTGTTTAAAAATAAGAAAAAAATAATATTTAACAGTTAAAGTTAAACCACCTAGAGTATGAGATACTCTGGAATATCGTAAAATTTTTGCTCCAAAAAGGATAATCTGCACTCCTCTTTAGGAAATTATTGTTTTAGAGTACATATATAATAGGTAAGAAAGAAAGGTTTAGTCGTCCTAACACAGCACCGTTGATTTGGGTGGCACGTTTGGTTTAGCTACGTACAAAATATGCTTCCCGATTCAACCTTTTTCTTATAACACAGTATCTTTTGCGATCGGAAAATTTCACAAAGGGCAAAAAATTTGTTAATATAAACGTATAAATACATGACAAGAACCCTAGCTAAGTTTAAAACATTCTTATATATAGTTATCTCTTTCTCCCTTGTCTTTGCCTAAGCCTTAGATTTCACTTTCACATATACCATGGCTCGAAAATTCAGCCACGCAATCTATACTCTTAAGTTGGTCGTACTGCTGTTGGTGAATTTTCTAGGTACCTCTCAATCCTTGCCTACTGATGAAACATATACATCACCACCACAGCCCTCGCCACCAATATCAGAAATTTGCGTGCAGCAGCCGGACTCGTGTACCATGAACTACTCGGGACCTGCCCAAGTCTACTCGCCGCCCGAGAGTGATTGGTCTATTCCTCCGCCGGCATCGGGCGATTATAATCCTCTTTCTCCTGACCCGATGATACCTTACTCTACGTGGATGGACAGGCCTCATCATCCAATGGTTTATTCCTCAGCCTCCAGTATCAAGCAATCGTGGTCGAGGGTCATGATTCCATGCGTGACTTTGTTAGTATCACTATATTTGTCGATTAATTATTATAGATAATTTGTTCTAGCTTATCTAAAGATGACACTCTAATTTCATAGTTATGTATATGTAATAAGAGAAATTAATTATGAATATTATGCAATAGCATCGATAATTTCGCCTCTTATATGTTACGCAGTGGGAAAAATTAGAAGATTTTATGTTACGTACCATTATCACAATACTTTATGAAACGTATTGTTTTTCTTTTATCAAACTATATGAATTTATTAAATTCGAATAAAAACGTCTATGATGCTAAAATACTGAATAACCAAACAGCTCAATATAGGCCACGACTATATTGTTCCTATTTTATCGAATTTAGTCCCAAAAATATTGTTGAACAAAGAGAAGAACCGGGTCAGAAGGCCAACTTGCCCTTGGTCGAATTGCCCTTATGGTTGTCATACTTGTACTAATTAAGATGGGTAATGCTAGGGAGAACAAATTTGTAAATCATATGTTGTGGTTGTTAATGATTAGAGTATTACTTAATTGTTGATTAATGTGTTTAATTCTTATCGGCAAGGTTCTAAAAGACGCTAAGTGCTAGTCAGGCGGCTGACTGGAGCCTAGCGTCTAGACGAGGTCTAGGTGGGCGCCGAGACAGACTAGACAGATTTAATTAAATCTATTATATTTCGTGTAAATAAGTGTCTATTTATACTTAAAATATATATAATTTCATCATAAACTACAAAATAGAATGACATACATGTTATGAGCTATTGGAATATAATGAAAACATAGGAAACAAGCATATAATGCGTATTCATTTAAGTATTCAACAAGTCTCTTACAAGTTATCGAAAAAAATAAAATACAAAAAGAAAGTTATCTATTTTCTGTCAAAGTGAGTCGCAACCTATTGGGTGCCTGGGCGGGGCAGGTGCCTAGGCGGTCTAGGCGAGTGTCTCAATAGGTCTAGGCACTCTTTCTTAATTTTCAAACGCCTATGCATTAATCGGGGTGGTGGCCAACCGCCTAGCACCTAGGCGGGGTCTCGATGGTGCTAGGCGGAGATTTTTAGAATAATGCTTATCAGTGACACATTATTAGTCCATGTGTTTTCAATTTGGCCAATTTGGTCCTTGTGTTTATCTCCGTTATCCAAGTAAGGACATTTCCATCTAATTTATGCAAAAAAAAATTATTAAGTTATTATAAACTTATTTATAAAATTATAATTTATTTGATTTAAAATATTTAAAAATGAAATAAAATTAACAATTGAAAGTAAAATTATTCTCCTCCCAACTCCCTGACCTCCTCCCTAACATTACCCCCTCTATTTTCTATGTTACAACCTTAATCATTTTTTCAGATTGAAAGTTTTATCTCTTATATGTGTTATTTCTCATTGATTTGCATTTTTCTATAAAGAGAGAGGGTAATTATATCTCATATGATTTTTCTTATGAATTTTTTAAAAGAGATTGAATGAAATGTTTTTAATTGGCTAACAGAGACAAACACGATGACTAAATTAGCCAAATCCAAAACATGGGGACTAAATTGGCCATATGGCTATACGACAATGACCATTTTGACATTTAAGCCATTCTTTTACGAATACGCAGAAAACCTATTCCTTCATCAATAAGCCCTCATTAATGTTCAAAAGAAAGATTCTCGCATGTCAATCGCGTACGTCTTTTTTACGATCATCAAATGATCGTTGTAAATGCTAATCAACTGCACTAGAGATTCAAAAAAGGTTAGACCATGACTCTCGGAATTCTATTCATATAAGATAAATTCCAATAGGATTCCAAAGAATGTTTCAATTAACATAGTATTCGTTGTTAGGTTACATTAGACTTGTAATTGGGTAACATTTTGTTAAAGCCTAGTGAGGTTGCCAAATAACAATTAATTCAAGAATCAACGATACATGGGCAAATTACAATGAATCCCATTTGTTTCCCGATTACAAATCAACAATACAAACAATCAATTGGAATTTTATCATCAATTTCGTATCTAGTGCAATTCTTCAACAATAAAATACAAAGGGATTATATACAACTTACAATTTCTTTCTTCTATGTGTAAGTAGGGCAACCCTCAACAACCACTCCCTTGGCCGTAGGGCAAGTAGCCAAAGGACAACCATCAAGGTCATTCCCCCACCAACTAAGACTAATGTCCTCCAACCCCAAGCTAAAATACAAAAGTACCCCCATGAAGGCAAGTCCAGCATCAAGTGCCCCAGAGAGTACATAATTATGGCGCCTCCACCAGTCTGGTCTATATCTATACACCACAAAACCAGATAGAAACCCTAAAATAATCCAAGAAGTGTAGTTCACTGCCGTAGCTGGCGGCATCAATCCTGTCGCACCGATTAGGACCGGCATGTTGATGAGCCTAATCCACTCTTGTTGTGGGAATGCCTTGGCAGCTAGCCATACAAAAATGGGGGCAATTGCGCCAACTAGGAAGAACCAGTTGATTGCCTCATATATGCCTAAGTCACCAAATATTCTTCTAGGACCAATCAGGCCCCATATGACCGAGGCATCATAAAATACTGTGTCACTAGGGCAAGTCCATAATGATGACGTGTCCTCACATATGTCCGGGATTGTTTCCATTAGCCACCAAGCTGTGCTCAGGTATACAATGGCAGCTATTAGGGTTCCCACAACCTAAGAGGTGATCAACATCGATATTAGTAAAAAAGGCAATAAGAGTAATTATGGGGGACTTTTGTGGTCAACCGAGGTATAGATACCCATATGTTTATATCTCTCGTCACAAGAATGTGTCCTAATCACATGATGAGAGATATAGAAAGATGAAAATATATGTCTAGTTTATCTCTCATAAATTAGGAATAGGAATTGTACCTGGGCCATAAACATAGTTCTGGGGGGGATTTTCATGTAGTGACCAAGCTTGAAGTCTTGCAAAAATGTGATGGCTTGTGTCATACTTATGTAGCCATACACCTTGAAGCACATATTGGCTACTGGGTATCCGGGGTAGATGTACCCAATTATATACTCAGTGATGATGTTTAAGCCTGGTGTCTGTCATTAGAAATGGAGATATACATTGAAAGGTGAATGAAGAAACCAAAATAGGTAAACTTTGAATATGAAAATATTAGCAAGGTTAATTGGAGCACTACTCGAGGGGGTTCGTGTACCATTGGAAGGGAGTTGGAGTGTTATCATAAGGACGTTGTAGCGGTTATATATTTCTCGATTTTGAAGGAGGTTTGAGTGAAAATATTAGCTAGAATAAGTTGAGGTGTCGAAAAAGTACCTGATTTGTGATGGCAGTGATGATACCAATGGGGAGGGTGAAGACAATGGCAATAGCACAAGCTAGTAAAACACCCCACCAAGGCAACTGGAGCTGCTCAATATAATATTGACAAGAAAATATAGTGACTGCAATGTTGACCAAAAGTATGATCACAAACCACCACTCAGGCACTTGGTTGTACCTCTGCATCAACCTTGTGTGTATGTCCATTTTCTTCTCCTTGAAACTTGCTTTGCTTTGCTCCCATATTTCCCTACATACCATATAGCCAAATAATGAGCTTCAAAACCTACATTCCTATCATTGATTGTATATTATGTGTTTATCTGTCTCATCACGTGATTAATTATGTGCTCAAAGATGTAAACACCAAATTATAAAAACTAGTGCCTAGTTAAAACGCATTGTGATATGAAATGTGACTAGTTACCTTCCATGAAATAAAGCAACATGTACAACTGTGGCGGTAAGCGCAGCAAAGCCAACACCGTATGTTATGGCGAAAAATGTGCTGAGATAAAGCGGACCTTCCCGATTGTATGCTTCCAAATCAAGGTGAAAATTTGAGTCAATGATGGCTGTTATGTTGTATTCTTGACCATCCGATGTGAACAATGTGTCTGAGAAAATGGGGAAGGTTTTGGCTTTGTAGATATTAAACCAGTAGCAAATGGGAGTCAATATATACATGACAAAGAAGAAACCAGCTGCCACGTTGGCTGTGGCAAACCATGGGCTTGCAAGTGGGCTTCCAAGGTAGGAGGAGATGGTTGACCAGTCAATCCCAACAGCGCCAATTCCAAGCCCATAAAGACCTGAGCCAAGCTGTTGGGCCAAGACATTGTTGGGGAAAATCCAACATATCCATGAAAGGGAAGTTAGCATCTCAAAGAGGTAGCCTGGGAAAACATAGTATGCAAAGCTGCACATGAAGGAAATTAGGAAGAACTGGGTACGTGTCAACCCACCCTTGGGCCTTGCTTCGTTCTCATGGAGGGCCCTGTGACATGAGTTCTCTCAGATGTTAGTTATCCAATAATATGTGGAATGAGACGTGACATGTTATAATTTAGCTTTAGTAATGAGACTTAAAGTGAGATGATGCATGAACAAATGAAAGTATTGTAACTTACTAACTCAAAAGGGTGTGGTTTTAATACTTCGTAGCACTCAGTAGCATGAATGTTATAGTTTCAGGTGTGATCCCAAACTCAATCATGCATTTTTTATACCACTTAATGCTACATAATATAACTTATCATATTTTACCTTTTTTAATTATTAAAATAGTTGACATTTGTTACTTTTTTTTTTAGTGAAATGATATATTTACTAATGCTTGAAATATTTGGACTAATACACATAATGATCTAATTATAATAATTTAATATTGAACTCGTGGTATACAAAGAAGAACCCAAGAGCTGTTATAGCGCAATGATTCGCCTTAGCTCAATTAATGAAGAATCTTTTAAGTGATTTTGACTTGTATAAAAAAATATGAGAAAGACTTGTTTTGGTTTTTTATGTAAACAAACAAAATGCAATTGCGTATTTCTTGTGTGTTGGACAGCCCAACCCGTCATTCTGAATTTGTGATTAGAAATCATCTCTGATCTACAACGTGAGGTTCATCAATAATATTTTAGTTTTTTTTTTTAATATTTATGCGCGTACAGTGGTTGGGTGTCGACCACTGATGAAAACAAATTTTACAAAAATTAGAATATGGGTATTTTTTTTAATTATTTTTAAAATGATAGAAAGTGTTTGTAAAGAAAATGTTTTTAAAATCAATTCTTAACAAAAATACAAATGAATATTGAAAAAGTATATGAAGTAATTTCTACAAAAAAAACACACACGATTTAAAAAGCAAAAACACTTTCAAACGAAGCTTATATCAATACTAAGCTAACAATGACAAGCGATTGCCCTTCACATTTCTAAAATATTTATATATAGAAATGATACAGATGTTAAATAATGTGCCAAAACAATTCAAACAACTAATATCTCTGTCGTTTCCTTATAGCATTATAAACTTTTGTGTCATGCATGGGCAGCTATACTGAAAACGACACTGCTTGAATGCAAACACCTACCCTTCTTCTAAACCCTCCAAACCGATCGATGTACCAACCGATCAAAAGTAATAAGCTCGATAGCCACCCAAAAAACACCGGAATCCATGATTATTCGTAACCCAAAAATATAGAGAAAAAAAAAAACCAAAGATATAGAGGGAAAAAAATGAGATGACAAATTGAACCACACCTTAATGCGGTAAAATTATATAGTAATGGTAAAAAATAGTGTACGTACCTGAACAGTGAAACTTGAACCAGGTTTGCTGGCCACCACATAGCAGCTGGTTCAACCAAGTATCTTCTAAAAATCCCAGCCCAACCAAACCCTAATACCTACCAACCATTCAATAATTCAAAGCCCATCAAACCCTAATCAACAAAATATCAAAACAAATCTTCTTCAACAAATAAATCAATTAATTAACTAAAACCGATGAAACAAAAAGCTTCAGAATTTAACCGCTGGTTGATAAAATAAGTTTTGACCTAGCTACCTGCGTTGTTAGGATAACAAGCAAGGACACGAAGAAGGTGATGTGCTTCTTGTAAAAAACTTTAACCACGGTAACAATATGGATCGCGTAGACGGTGCCGGCGCCGGAGTTGGCGAAGATGGTAATTAGAACATGTTCCTTGACATTGAAAGGGCCAGGGTTTAGCGTAAATTCCCAGCGGGACCCTTTGAAGAAGACACGGTTGGTGATTTTGGAAGCCATAAGCTGCCCCAGAGGCACCACCGCAATCTGGGCGGAGATTGCGGTAATGGAGAGGGGCTCGGTTCTGTACCAGAAGAATTGGTTGAGGAAGGAGAGGAGGACGCAGGAGAGAGTGCCTAGGACCCACATTCGGAACGTCAGGACGGGGAGGGAGGGATCGTCTGTTGTCGGCACAGTTAGCGCTACTTGTTCCACTGGTGAGTTTTCTTCTTCTGTTGATCCGGAAGATGATGATTGGCCATGGAAGCCTTCATGTTTTTTCTCTTCCTTAGGAACTGCAAATATTCCATTAAAAAAAAAAGTAAAATTAGGAAAAGAAACAAAGAGAAAAATGGAAAATAAAAGAAGGGGGCTTACTGAGAAGGGAGGTGATTTCATGAGAGGATGCTTCTTCCATGGATTCTCTGCTACTTTCTGTCATTCTGTGTTTTTTTTCCTAAAATTTATCACATGGATTTTTGGATATAAATAGGTGGGATTGTTTTGTAAGGCGGTGAGAAATTGAATGATATGACATATCAGAGGACTGAGAATATTAAGAGAGGATAGGAGGTAATTAGCTAAATTGGCTAAATTAACTAGTAGGTAAATATGTGAGTTGTTGCAGCTGCTCCCCCACGTGGTGCGCTTTTTTAGTTTTTTATGTCTCTATATATGTTTTTGTTTTAGGGTTCATGATCAGCGTTGGAACATACATATCAGTAAATTCAACCAAATTTGAATTCTATAATTTACAAATTGTTCGAATTCAATATCAGATCAGTAAATTTTTACTAAATTTTTTGTGTTAATACTTGGTGAAACTGTACCGAACTGTGTAAAAAATTCACTAGATAATAAATGCTATAATCGGAACAACTTATTTTTTTCAACATTAAAATTTATTTTTAAATAAAATTCATTGTACAATAAACGTTATAATCGGAACAATTTATTTTTTCCAACATCTAAAATTTATTTCTAAATAATTTATTCAAATTTATATATCACGTTTGAAAGGAATAAATAAAAGACTTTTTTCCTTGCTGGGAATGATATGGAAGTGTTATTCAATATTATTCACAAAAGTGGATCATCCTAAATGAAACATTGGTGGGAATGATATGGAAGTCTTATTCAATATTATTCACAAAAGTGCGTCATCCTAAATGAAACATTGGTAAGAACTAATTGTGAAAGCTATTGGCCCAAATTGCGGTGGTGATCATGTACAGCAGGACAAAAGATGGCAAACGAGAAGAGTTTTGAGGGTCCATTACAGCCTACCAAAACAGTAGGATGCAGTGTGGCACCTACCCTTCCAATCCAAGCCAAGGCCAACTGATTTTTCCGTTGAGTGTCTAAATTACACTTTCTGGTCAAAATTCAAATATTATTCTTGAATCTCTGTAGACTTGCATATGGAATTCACGATACACATTCGTCCACGTAAAGTCACTGCAAGCCCGAATAAAATACCTTACCTTTCTTGTACATCATAATCTCGTCCTAGACTCTTTTTTCTTGAAACGAGATTTTGGATGAGTTTATAACTAGGTAAACAACTCCTCATGTTATCAACTTTTTTAATATATTAGAGTAAGCTATTTTACGTGTGAAATCAATGACTACACATGTTTTATCTCACTTTATTTGTATCGTTTACATATTTAACTTAAAATAGTGACGCTATTATCAGTTGATATATGATAATCTTATTTGTATTTTTTCAGTTGTACATAAAGTCAAATGTTTGATATTTTATATTGTCAAAATGCTAAGGACTCGTTTGATATCCTATTAAAAAAATTGATTTGATTGTTCTTAGATCCCTTTTTTAAGGGCATCTCTAAAGAATAATACTTTTTTAATTCTCAAAAATTTAAAAACTTGTTTAGTTAAACTTTTGAAATTAACTATTTTGGTTGAATTCAAGCTTAGATTCAACCAAGGTCTAGTGCATTTATTTGAAGCTGGAAAGGTCAAAGCTATTTCTTCCTCTCGAGCATCTCCTTTTTTTTTTTTTTTTTTTTTTTTTTTGAGAATGATATCATGATTTTCTGTAAAGTGAGTTTGGTACTAACTTGAAACTTTTCTTTAATGAGTACGGCTTGAATTCTGGATATTGGTGAATAAAGCAAAGTCTCATGTTCATCTAGGTAAGTAAGATGTTCATCGTCGGTCTCTAAGTGGTTGAGAATTCCTAATGGAAGGCTTCCCTTTATTTATCTTGGGGTTCCAGTTTTTGTTGGACAACCTTGTGAACACGAAAAATTCCTTGAAACAAGAAACAAGAATAACGTGTACAAAGTAATATTTTGTGTTTGATGATTTTGGGGTTACGATCTCTCTCAAATTTGGTCCTCTGATTCTATCTTCGTAAGATGTAGATTTGTTGATCCAAGGGCCGTCGAGGCTTGATCTTGGATGAACAGTTGTAAGTTTCTTCAAGGGCCTTCGTGGCTTTGATCTTGAAGGTTGATGGAAGTTTCTTCAAGGGCCTTCAGGGCTTGATCTTGAATGTTGATGGATGAGCGGATCTTCAAGGGCTTTTGGGCTTGATCTTGAAGAACAGTTGGTTTTCTTCAAGGGCTGTCGAGGCTTGATCTTGAATGAACAGTTGGTTTTCTTCAATGGCCTTTGTGCTTGATCTTGAAGAATAGATGTGTGGATTTCTTCAAGGGCTTTTGGGCTTGATCTTGAAGGTTGATGGATGAGCGGATCTTCAAGGGCTTTTGGGCTTAATCTTGAAGAACGATTGGATGTATAGGTTTGTTGAGGTTGTTGATCCAAAGGGCCATTGGGGCTTGATCTTAAGATGAACGGATGATGAATGATGAACACTTTCTTCAAGGGCCGTCGGGGCTTGATCTTGAATAATGGTTGTGTGGATTTCTTCAAGAGCTTTTGGGCTTGATCTTGAAGGTTGATGGATGAGCGGATCTTCAAGGGCTTTTGGGCTTAATCTTGAAGAACGGTTGGATGTGTGGATTTGTTGATGTTGTTGATCCAAAGGGCCGTTGGGGCTTGATCTTAGGATGAACGGATGAATGATGAACACTTTCTTCAAGGGCCGTCGGGGCTTGATCTTGAATTGGTGGAAGTTCTTCAAGGGCCGTCGGGGCTTGATCTTGAAGGAGGATTTGACGAAGAATGAAGAGTGCTTTCTCCATTCTTCGGGATTCTTGGGAATTTGGGGGTTGGATGCTTGAGAGCTTTAGAGTTTCAAAGCTTCAAGGATTTTGGATGTGTGGGGAGTATTCTCTTCCATTTTGGGAGTAGAGAAATGTATTTGTGAATTGGTTGATGCTTGATACCTTGATGGAGAAGCCTATTTATAGGCTTTGAGAATGAATCACCACCACAAAATATTTTTTTCTTTTCCAAGCACCATTGCCTAATTTTCCCACTTAATGCAATATTGAAATTGAAGTGGTGTAACTTATTGCCTAATTTCCCACTTAATACCATTTAAAACTTGAAGTGGTGTAATTTATGGCCTAATTTCCCACTTAATACCATTTTAAACTTGAAGTGGTGTAACTTATGGCCTAATTTCCCACTTAATACCATTTTAAACTTGAAGTGGTGTAACTTATGGCTTAATTTCCCACTTAACACCATTTTAAACTTGAAATGTGTATGCTTTGTCATTGCCCAAATGAGAAAACCTTGCTTTGATCCGTAATGGATTGAAGTTTGCTTGCCTTGTCATTGCCCAACATGAGAAGAAAAACTTGTTTTGATCCTCAATGGATTGAAATGTACTTGCCTTGTCATTGCCCAAAATGAGAAGAAAAACTTGTTTAATCCTTCAAGGGTATTTCTCCCTATTTTGTTGAGTCACACGCCACATGTATAATTTGTACAACACGTGGCGTATGCCATGTATGCCTTGACACGTCAAAACTTTAATGCATTGGTGAACATTTGTTTTACTGAAATTTCGATGTCTACAAATGCCCCCACTTCAAGGCGCGTCGTAGACATGTGCTTGACACGTGTAGAAGATGCGTTTTGAAGTCCCTTAATGTAGATGTCAACCCAAGAGCCGTCGAGGCTTGATCTTGAATTGGGCTGGAAATTTCTTCAAGGGCCATTGAGGCTTGATCTTGAGTTCGACTGGAAGATTTTCTGGTTTCCTCCAATCGTTGATTTTCCACAGGCTTAGTCTTGAACTGGGCTGGAAGATTCTTTTGGTCTCCCCCGAAGGCCTGAACTTACTCCTTTTATCTGGAGTTGAATTTGATTCAAGGGTGGAGAACACTTGATTTCGAATCGGGCTTGTGATTTCTTCAAGGGCCATCGAGGCTTGATCTTGAATTGGGCTGGAGGATTCTTTTGGTCTTCCCCGAAGGTCTGAACTTACTCCTTTTATCTGGAGTTGATTTTGATTCAAGGGTGGAGAACACTTGATTTCGAATCGGGCTTGTGATTTCTTCAAGGGCCATCGAGGCTTGATCTTGAATTGGGTGTAGGATTCTTTTGGTCTCCTCCACTCGTTGATTTTCCTTTGTGCTACTCTTGAACTGGGTAGCAGGATTCTTTTGGTCTCCCCCGAAGGTCTGAGCTTACTCCTTTTTTCTGTTTCTTTGTTCAATCTCTCCAATTCGTATTGAAGAGGGTTAGAGGATAGCTCAGCATATGCAGTTGTAGCTTGTCTCCATATGCTTCAATGTATCATTTTCACTTGCCTTACTTGCTCCTCTTTGCAGAAGTGGTATTTCCTTATGCAGGTTTGACATCTTTTCTTGTAGTATTTGTCTTCTGATACAGGAGTAGAATGCAAACCTTGCATTTGAATGGACCATCACTTCTTGGTGGCAGCGCAAGTTTGAGTGGAGGTTCCGACATATTGCTCTCTCTGTCCTTGTCTTGGCAGGTGAGAACAAGGGCAAAGGAAAAGACAGGGAAAAAGCATGATATGAGATACCTTTGCTTTCGCCCTTGATGATATGAGATACTTTTGCTTTTGAAGAAGCAGCGAATGAATCAACACATATATTTGTTGTGCTTGTCTCCACATGCTTCGATTTACCGTTTCCTCCTGCCTCATCTGTATTCCAGGCATCTGGTATCTTCTTTGGGGGTACATCAATAGTTGAAGATGAGTACTTGAGAGCAGGGCTGGGAGTGCACTCTCGGAGGTGAGGAAGAGTTGGGCATTTTTTTTTTTTTTTTTGTTTGTTTGCAGGTCTGCCTTGCCATAAAAGATGAAGGTCGACATATATAGGGATTTCCCAATAGCAAGTGGTGGTACTGTTCTTTTACCCTTGTCGACAAACGTTTTGATCCCGCAAATCCGGCTTTTTTGAAATAGTGACGACTCTTCGATCTTTGAATACGCCTCTTTGATTTCTGAACGACGCCTCTTCGATTTCTGAACGAGCGCCTCTTTTGACAAAGCTGCACGCGTTTTCTGAAAAGCAGAGAAAGCGTCGCCAACTTATGCCGGAAAGTCCAGTTTTTGAGATTTGCAGAGCGATGTCTCTTCACTTTTGAATAAGCGGCCCTTCGATTTCTGAGCAAGCGCCTCTTCCTTTTTATAGAGGTATTGATCACCTCTAACATGCACACTTTGAAGGTTGCTCATTCCTGAAAATCATCTCC